TTTTTTTTTTTTTTGGTCTTTTTGAGACAGGGTCTCCCTGTAGCTCCACCTATCCGGGAACTCACTATGTAGACCAGGCTGGCCTTGAACTCACAGAGATCCTCCTGCCTCTGCCTCTGGAGTGCTGGGATTAAAGGTGTGCACCACCACGCCCGGCTAAATAAGCCAGGTATTCTTAACTGAGTTGTGTTAGGCTAAGCAATATTAGTATAAGTAGTGGGAATAATTTCATTTAAAAGTATTTTGTATTTGATAGTTCCCTGGTTACAAAAAACAATTTATGTAAATTTTCTCTATTTCAGAAACCTTTTCCCAAAAAGGACAAAGGAAATCAAATCAATTGTGCATAGTGCTCCTGGTTGGAAATTATTTGGTAAAGTCCCTCCCAGAGAAAGTCTTCAGAAGACTTCCAGAATCATTCAGCAGGTAAGTACTAATATGGCCATGCATATTCTCACAGCTTTTAAAGCTTTGTTCATTTGCCAAGCATGGCACTGCCTGCCTGTAATCCCAGTGCTTGGGAGTTTTAGGAAAGAAGAATCTCCTTGAATTGGCTAGTCTGGGCTGTATAGTGAATTCAAGGCCAGGATCGGCTACATAATGAGGCCCTGTCTTTTAAATAAATAAGATCCTTTTTCTCTTGATGATTTACTGTATTCATTTTATTTTTCTAGATACAAACCTTGGAATTATAGGTACTTATAGTTGGCTTTGTAATTTTTTTGGAGGACTGGCCATAGTATTTTTCTATTATATATTATGGTTATGATAATTCTTGTAATAAAACATTGATTTACTTTCCCAGTTATTCTTTGAGTAACAAAACAAACAAAAAATGAAAAAAGGCAAAGTTCAGCTAATTACTTTCACTGAATACTTGTTTCTTGAAATCATTGAGATCATTGCCTATGGCACAGATTTTATGAATAGTGCTGACTGTGACCTGATGAACCTAAAAAGCAAAACCATGTAGACGATGCAGCTGAACTGTTTTGTAGCTTCTTTGCTTTCTACCTGTACAAAGGGCTTTGTAAATGAGCATTACCTCGAAATCTATTTCTAGTAACTTAGAAGTCAGTCTTTGGGGTTTGAGGGTTTTTTTTGTTTTTGTTTTTGTTTTTGTTTTTTTTTTTTTGAGACAGAGTGTCCCTGTATCCCCATCTGATCTACTCACTCTGTAGACCTCCCATCTGACAGAGATCTTTGTGCCTCTGCTTCCTGAGTGCTGGAATTAAAGGCATGTACCACCATGCCCTGCTAAGCCAAGTCTTTTACCTTTTATATCACTTACCACATTATTTAGTTCTTAAAATTGTCAGATCTTATTTGACTCCTGAACCTGTGCTCTTCAGTACTAGATTAGTAAGACTGGGAAGCAGTGAGCGTAAATCAATTTGCACTGTTTTAAAATGTTTCAATTGTTGCTTAAAAGAAGTTATGTAAAAAAACATTGTAGCCTGTCATGTGGCTCACACCTTTAATCTCACCACTTGGGCCAGCCTGGTCTACATACAGAGTTCAAGGCCAGCCTGGTCTACATAGTGAGTTCCAGGCTAGCTGGAGCTACAGGGAGACTCTATCTCAAAAAGACGAAAAAAAAAAAAAAAAAGGACAAACAAAGGTAAGTAATAATAAAATATAAAAATTTAAAGAATTGGGCCGGGCGTATTGGCACACACCTTTAATCCCAGCACTCGAGAGGCAGAGGCAGGCAGATCTCTGTGAGTTCAAGGCCAGCCTGGTCTACATAGTGAGTTCCAGGACACCTGGAGCTACAGGGAGACCCTGTCTCAAAAAGACCAAAAAGAAAAAAAAAAAAATTAAAGAATATCTTTTTTTGAGATCAACCTGCCTCTGCCTCCCAAGTGCTGAGACCAAACATGTGTGCCACCATGTCCAACATAAAAAAGATATCTTAGTGCTAAACAAGCATCAAAAAATAATACACAAATTGGAAGAAAAGATTTTATTTATTTATTTTTTGAGACAGCATCAGCTGGCCTGAAATTCAAGATTCTTCTGCACAAGGTTTCCCATTAATTCAACCTGGGATTATAGGAATGCACCACTATGCCTAGATCTCCTTTTATTTTTTTTTTAACTTTTAAAAAAATTTTGTTATTTTTATTTTATGTGTATGCAATGTATTGCCTGCATGTAGGTAAGTACACCTGAGTCATGCAATGCATGTGGAGGTCAGAAGAGGCTGTTGGATCCCCTGGGACTGGAGTTAGGGACAATTGTTAGCTGCTATGTGGGTGCTGGGATTCAAACCTGGGTCTTCTGCAAGAACAGTCAGTGTTCTTAACTGCTGAGCCATCTCTCCAGCCCTCATTCTATTTTTTTTAAATTGTTATTTACTTGTCTCCTGCTGTTATTGTCTAAAAACAGGATCTCATGGAACCCAGATCAGCCAGGAGCTGATGTGGAGTCTGACCTTGAACTCCTGATCCTCCTGCTTCCACCTTCATAGTGGCTGGGATTTGCAGACTTGTGTGCCTCCATCTTGGATAAGGCAGTACTGGGGCTTGAACCCATGGCCTCTGGTATGCTATCTGGACACCCTACCAACTGAGCTATATCACTAGTATGCTATTAAGATATTCTTACTAGTTGCACATGATAGTTCATACATACCTCTAATCCCAACATTCAGGAGGCAGAGGCAGGTGTTTCTCTGTGAGAGTGAGGCCAGCCTGATCCACGTAGTGAGTTCCATGTCTGCTGTGGCTATAGGGAGACCCGTCTCAAAAAAAAGGTTGGGGATTGGGGCGGGGAGGGAGGCTGGAGAGAGGTGGTTCAGTAGTTAAGAGCACTGACTGCTTTTCCAAAGGACCTGGGTTCAATTCCCAGCATCCATATGGTAGCTAACAGCCGTCCCTTACTCCATTTCCAGGGGATCCAACACCCAATTCTGGCCTCTGTGGACTTTGCATGACTTGTGTGCACTTGCATACATGCAGGCAATAGACTCATAAAATTAGAAAAAGAAACCAATAAAGATATTCTTACTAAATTATTTAAATACATATTAAATAGAACTATTATTTATTTCTTTTGGTTTATTAAGTGATATAAAAAATTACTACTGAGGGGATGGAGAGATGGCTCAGCAATTAAGAGCACTGGCTGCTCTTGCAGAAGGCCCAAGTTTGAATCCCAGCACCTACATGGCTGCTGACATTGTCCATAAGTCCAGTTCCAGGGCATCTGATGTCATCTGTCCTCTGAGGGCATTGCCTGACGTGGGTGTACTTACACACATGCAGGCATGACACTCATACACATAAAATAAAAATAAAAAAAATTTTTTTAATTACTACTGAAACACTAAGTATATCATTAACCTAAAAAGGTCCAGGACCTCTTCCATCTTGGATTTTAACTCCTCTTTTTTTGTTTTTGAGACAAGGTCTGACTGTGTAACCCTGTATGGCCTGGAACTCACTGTAGACCAGGCTGGCCTTGAACTCACAGAGATCTGCCTGCCTCTGCCTCCTGAGTGGTGGGATTAAAGGCATGTGCCACTATGTGGAATTAACTTTTATCTAACCCAGTCTGGTGGTTCACACCTGTAAATCCAACAATCAGGAAGCAGAGGAACATGGATTGTCTTTAGTTGGAGGCTATCTTGGGCTATCTTGTGATTTCTAAGCCTGAAGATTACAAAGTGAGACCCTGCTACAAATAGCCTACCTAACCAACCAACCAACCAAGTTGGTTGCCTGTAGTTTTTCCAGGTCAAGTTCACCCTTTAGAAGCCAAACACTGGTCTTGCGGTCTTGCTACTGAAGGTTTGTGTAAGCAGTCTTTTTTTTGGACATTTTGTGTGTGTGTGTATGTGTGTGTGTGTGTCCCTTACTCTCTATTTATCTAACTTTGATGTACTTTCTGTTTTTAGAATATGAACTACAAAATGAAGCTATTACAGGTATAGCCATGAAGAAGTTGAAACATGAATCATATTTTAGACTAGGTTCTTAAGCTATTAAGGCAATAGGAAATAAACTAATGTCTGGTAATTCAGATATAAAACTTCCTAAAAATGTATTGAAGTTAAGTTCCTGCTGAATGCAGTGGTGTACTCTTGTAATCCCAGATTTAAGAAGTGGAGGCAAGAGGATAAGGAGTCCAAGGTCCTCCTTGGCCCAGTTGGGAATAAGGAGAGCCTTTCTCAGAACATACATATATAAGCAAACTCCTTTGAACATTCTGTAAATATGCCTCACTTAACTTTTTGTGTGGCAAAGCAGTAAGATATATAAACCAAGTGTGGGGTTATAATAATACTGCATAGCCATACCCAATTTATGAGGGTTCTGGGGATTAGGGTTACAATCGTGAACATATATTCACCAAACTGTGGTGCACCCAACGTCATAAAAACAATACTACAGGACTTTGAGACCCAGATTAATCCCAACTCATTAATAGTAGGGGACTTCAATACCCCACTGTCTCCATTAGATAGGTCAACAGGGCAGAGAGTTAACAGAGAGACATCTGACTTAAACAATACCATATATCAAACGGACTTAACAGACATCTACCAAGTATTCCACCCAAGCACCAAAGGACATACTTTCTACACAGAACCCCCGGAATCTTTTCCAAAATCGACCATATGCTGGGCACAAAACAAACCTCAACAAATACAAAAAGATTGAAGTAATTCCATGCATTCTATCAGACTACAATGCAATGACGCTAACAGTCAACACTGGAAGAAGCCCTAATTACCACATGAACACATGGAGATAAACAACACACTCCTAAATGATGAATGGGTCAAAAGAAAAGAAAGAAATAAAAGTATTCCTAGAACTAAATTAAAAGGACAATACAACATAACAAAACCTCTGGGACATGCTGAAAGCTGTCCTTAGAGGGAAGTTTATAGCTCTAAGTGCCTACATCAAAAAATCAGAAAGAACACAAATAAATGACAACATTGCAACTTAAGACAATTGAAAAGGAACAACAAATGAAACTCAAACCCAGCAGACAAGAAGAAATAACAAAAATCAGGGCAGAAAATACTGAAATCAAAACAAAGAAAACAATACAAAGAGTCAATGAGTCCAAGAGCTGATTCTTTGAAAAGATAAACAAAATTGACAGACTGCTAGCCCAGTTAACCAAAAGAAAGAAAGAGCACCTCCAAATCACCAAAATCAGAGATGGAAGGGGAAATACCACAACAGACACCAGAAAGATACAGAACTATAAGGGAATACTTTAAAAACGTAAATGCTACTAAATTTGAAAACCTAAAAGAAATGGACGGATATCTAAAGGCATGGGAACCACAAAAACAAACCAAGAAGAGATTAACAGCTTAAACAGACACATAACACAAAAAGAAATTGAAACAGTAATACAAAACCTCCCGACTAAATAAAGCCCAGGACCAGATGGATTTACAG